TTGCAGAAAACAATTTCAGTGCTCTTTTCCTGAGATGACAGAGTATTTTCTCCTTTTTGCTGATCTGTTCGGGGCAGTGTCCTTTCATTTTTAAAGAACTGTCCTAACAAGCAAAGCAAACTGTGCTTACGTGCTAAATTCCTTGCTTCGGTGTATTCGGGCTAATACAGAAAATGCTTCTACATTTGTGACCTGCAGTAATCTTTCCGTTCTTTATTATAATACATAGTTACTGGCCTTACTGCAAAGCTTCCAGATTCAGCGCTGATCTGATTTGGTTGTCCCATTGACAAGGTCAGTGTTCTTAATTTTTTTTAAACTAATTTGCAGAGACATCAATGGAACTTATTGTTAGTTCCCTTCAAACTATAGGAGCCTAGGTTCAAGTTTTATGCTTTTAATATACTGATCTGTTGAGGCTTATGCTGAATTCTTGAGAAGGTAATCATGCAAGAATAGCCAATAGTTGAAGGTGGAGTAAGTAAGTTTAGTGAGTTAAGAGAAGAAAGTGTCAGTAAAATTCCACCTTGGAAAATTAGGCAAGGCAAATTTCATGTGAAAACTGATTCTTAATATTTGGCAATAAATGTCAAATAGGTTATTTAAAAATGTAAGTTGTTTTTGTTGAAGTATATTGACAGTGTGATACTTCACAGGGATTCTTGGACCCAGATAACAAATGAATTTGAGCCAGTGAAACAGCAATGCCTTTTATGTAAGAAATGGTTGAGGAGATTTTCAGAGAGTTTACAAGTTTGAAAGAAACAAATTGGCCTTTTTGATTTAAGCTTGTGTACAGCTCTGTTATCTTCTAGACCTTCCTACTTGGCTGTATTTTAAAATTGGCAAAATTTTTGTTTGATGAGTCCCTTGGTACAGCTTACATGAGCTTTAAAAAGATAGTGTGGTTAGTCAGCAACACAGTGGCACTGTTTATAAATGTATTTGTTTGGAAACAGTGAAATCAAACCATTGCTTTGTTTCCTACTGTGAACAGTTAACTCAAATTATTGCTATGCATCTTTTAAAAAAAGTTCTGCAGTTCTACAGAACAAAACCAGCTACAACTATCTGGATTCAGACTGGTGCATATTTTATCATAATCATTTAAGGTGATAATCCAGATGTGTGATTTTAACAGGTTTTCCTACAGCTTTAATTAGAAAGCTTACTTGTGTATGAATGAACTTCAGTTTCCTAAGAAGTATGCTAATTTTTTATGGATAATTGGAAGAGAACTCAAGGTGGTGACGTACAAGGGGGAACGCTTGTGTCAAATTATGCAGGGTTAATCATAGGCAGTTTTTCTTAAAAAGCTGTTCGTCCATTGTGTGTATATATAAACTTCACAGCCACATTATCCAGCTGTTAATGAGCAATTATAGCTGTCAGATTGAGACCCTTTCTTGGTAGATGTACATTTAAATACACAGTGTTTCATAATACGTAAAGAATACAGTCAGTGAAAGTGCTGCTGTTTGATCTTTTGCTTTGACTCGCAGTCCTGTTCCTCTCCCCTCCCTTTTGTGGTTGGATGTGTGAAAGGTATTACTTCCACACTCGTAAACTGTTGAGTTAATAGATTCTGCGTTTGGTTATAGAGAGTTCTCTTTCTTTCAGAACAAGATGCTTCTGCTTATATTGTTCTTCTGAAAAAGTTGCTTCAGTGTTTTAAAATGAAAATAAATAAACCAGCCTGCCTTTCTTTTTGGAGCAGCCTAAGAGAGGCAGCTACATTGAGGGGGAGAAAGAGGGTGGATCGCTTTTGCCTTGTAGGTCTTGCTGAAGGCTTAAGTTCATACCTAAGCTCCCTTTTCCCTGTAAATACAGAAGCAGTTAGCTTTGTTTGAAAATCCATACGCATGAGCAGAACGAGTTAAGGTGGGAACACTGATTTGATCAGTATAGTTACGTAAGGTTTCTGCCAGCACAGATGCCAGCACCATCCCAGCAAAAAATCCGTAGTGTAGGCTGGTCTAAATCAGCATCTGGCCTGTGTATGGGGAAGGGCTTGATCGTTTAATGAAATGGAGCTCCATATTGTTCCTTGTTTGAGCCAAAGGAGAAATAACTTCTGGGCACAGTGAATAATTAAACTGAGGGGAGCATAATACATCCTGTCATAAAAATGTTATTTGAGGACTTCATTGTTTCTTCCCAATTTCTGTGTGCCATTTTGTGTTTTCCCATGCACCTAAAAAGAAGAATGTTCTTAAAAGTTGAAGGAAAGCAAAAGAAAAATTTGTGACTGTTCTAGGTGACCTTTTCTAACTGACTTTATTTAGTAAAAAGGTCGTCTGATAATGTTTTGATTTTTCTTTGTTACTTGATTTATCAGAATTTAATATATTCTCCTCTTTAATATACTGAGTTACTCTATTAACCTGTCCAGAAGGTGTTTAACACACTGTATAAACTGATCAATTGGAACTTCCTTGGAGTTTTGTGGGGTTTAATTTCTTGTCTGCTCATGCTTTTTGGACATTAAGGCATGCACCCGTGCTTCACAGTCGCCGTTGTGCTATTTCTGTGCGAGAGGAGGTACTACATGATTCAACTTCTCCTCTGTGAAGAATCTAAAATAACAAGTTTACTTGAAGACAGAGTGGCAAAGTAATTCTGAAAAAATGTAACAAGCTTCAGACTGCTCAGTGGCTGGATGGTGATCCTGTATCACCAGTAAATCAGCTGGTTCTGGTGTCCCTGGGTCAAGGTGCAGTTGCGGGTCAGACCAAGACCTAAAAGTAAATAAAACCCAATATGTGAATGTGTTAAATTGTCTCATCTAGCTGTGCTGTAGTAGGTATTGGTAGAGCTATCAAAGAAGAGAAATTGCATTGCTCCATTGAGCTTTTTTATATTCTTTACTTCATAATAAGCTGAGGCCTCGTGTTTGGAGGTAGTGAGCTCATACCTCGGAGGCTTTTGGAGCTGCAGATACTCAGCCTCTCTAAGAATTATGTCTGAAAGCATCTAGCTTTTTAAGGGGCACAGAGAATAATCGCAGCTAAAAACCTAACCTCATGATATACGTGAAAGCTTTTCTGTAATACAGTATGTACTGTGCTATTTAGTTTCATAAATAGAATCTCAGTATTTGTTTAGATCGTTTTTGCAACCAGCTGCTTTTCAACTTGAGCAGCAATCTCCTTTCCCAGTCTTAATGTCAGTAAAATGGATGATTTGTTTTCTTGCCCCTAAACTGCTGGGTTTAAGGCTTTCCAAACTAGGGCAGGTAAGAGACCGTTTACAGTTACAGATCCCTCTCAGGCTTCATCACACAGTGTATACAGATCTGGCTTTTGATTAAAAGCATTACCTACTCAAAACATACCAGCTTCTGCTCAGGTAGAAGTTATTCTCAAGCTCGTATTGGGATAGCCACTTTCTGGTTGTCCACAGTAGCACAAGTGAAACTGCTCTTCGTGGTTCTGTTGGCGGCTGTTGGCAGGTGTGTGGACGGTATGCTGCTTCCTTCTCTTTTCTGAAAACCGTGTTCAACTGTCTTGCGTTCCGAACTAGGAAATGTTAATATCTCAGAAAACACTACTGTTTATAGAGAGAATAAGCTTATTAAGAAATGTTAAAGTCATTAAAAAACTTATTTTGGGAATTGGGGGAAAAAGGCTTGACGAAGTGGAATAGATAAATCTAGCATGTAGAGTAGTCATATAGGAGGTGTTTTGGCAAAGCTTTAGTTTGTGTGTGGAGTAGAGAAACTGTTTTTCCTCCAAGTTTCTGAAAAGTTGACTTTATGAAGTCACCTTTAGTAAAATCAAGTTGACTTTGTATTCTTATGTATATGTACGTATTTTTCACTTATTTTATTACAGATATGGGGACCCTGGTATGATCTCGCTCCTTTTCTTTCCATCGTGCATTGGCATGGACATTTGTGAGGAATGGTGGAGGGGAAGCAGTAGGAAGACTAATTGCCTTCTCAGCACATTCCTTAGTCTGACACAGTTTTATAACGTATAGGTGGGAGTGAAGTGCTCTGCAGGCTGTTCAAACAAGTAATATTAGAACCTGAGCTTTATGAGAAAGCTTTATATGTTCCTGACTGCTCATCTGCTTTCATGCAACATAAATACGGATCGCTGCTGAAAAGGATAGTCCTGCCCTCTCCTCTGTCCTGGCCATGCGATAGCCCCTCATTCATGCAGCTACCTGATCTGGTGAATAGATCAGAGTCGAGCTGTTGGAAAAAACCTATGCTGCACACTGGAGTCCACAGAAGGGAGATAGTAGGAATAAGGGTGACAAATTTAAGTGGACATTTAGCTGTGCATTGGTAGAGCAAGGTGTGTGCGAAGGTATTTGAGTGAAGAATGTACTAACTCATAAAACATTTCCTAATCAGAGAACAGGTATAAACTAATTTTTAGTTTCATGTGTCTAGTTTTGAATTTAATCCTGTTGTGTAACTTCTCTTTTGCGGTTTTTGTTTACTAGATTATGGGTGTTTTTGTTAGCCAAGAGAGTTGCAGTATGATGAATAATTGTCAGTCAATTGATATGACAAATTTGTATTTTGAACAGTTTTGCGTGCTTAAAAATATCACATAATTGAGTCTTACATATTGGGTAACTGTTCTGTGGTAAGGGAGGAAATGGACTGTATGCATTTTTCTATTTGTCCTTCATCTACCTGCCTCACCCTTTCCCTCTATTATGCCTTCTACACAAAGCTTCTTTTTCCTTCCCCATCCGAAGTTTCAGATTGCAATAAGAGTGTTTATAGAGGTTCTGGTGTAAATTTGATGTTGCTTGGATCTAGTTCTTTTACTTCAGCAGATTGATCACTTGTATAGTGACTGGTTCTTTATAAATATTGGTTTATTTTCACCAGTCCGTATGTTAGTCTTAGCAGGTCATGACTGAGTTTAAACAAGTAAATTGGGATCAGAATAGGTGTGGCATTTAATAATTAACTTTCTGGTTACTCAGGTCCAGTAGGAAACCTATAATGAGTCTGTTTTCATTTTGTTTACAGGAATAGTTATCTGCTTAGTCTCACCCTTCATATTTGCAATCTGAGGAAAAGGTCTGAGCCAGCATGAAGACAGAATCCCATCTTCATTAGAGAAAAAGTGAGTTGGAATTGGATTGAAATCTGGATTTGTAGAATGAAAATACTATGTTAGCTTGTCAATGCACACAGCTTGTGCTTGCTTTCAAGTGGTATTTTAACTTTGTAACACTACTGTTATGAGTCATGTCCAATCAAGGCCGCCTCTTGGTTAAGCACATGTATAAAATTTTCAAATCTATGTATTTTATGTAAACTCCTACACCCCACTCTTCTGAAAGAACTGCTCACTCATTGTATAACTGCCCACCTGATATAGTCCTCCTTCCTTCCAGATCCTGTGAGCTCTTGTAATAGGCCTTGCAGGAACTAGACTTTGTGTTCCTTTTCTTGTACTGCTGTATTCATATTGAGTTTTATTTTAACAATTTAATATTTGTGACTTGTTTCTGTAGCTGTACTGGTTTCTTCTCCAGTATTCTCAGTGCAAAATGTGTATCTGTTTTCTGAATTTGTTTTGGAAGCCTCTGTGCAAATTTAAGAAATTCCAGAAATGTAGGACTGAGTTTTCTTTTCATTTCTGCACTAGGAAATCCTGAATTCTGCATTTAAAATGCTGTTAGCTCAAGTCTTATTCTTTTCATAGTGGTTTTTCTCCCCCTAAATGTTCTAATAGTTTCAAGAAAAAAAAGATTGCCTGTTTGCCCAGCCTGATTTTTATATTTGGTGCAGTACACGTCAACTGGGTTAAATCTCATTTACTCTTTTTTTTTTTTGAAACAGAGCTCCTATGCAACCGTTGTGTACTAATGATGTATTCTGATTACTTAGCTTTCTGCCTGACGCAGTTCATTTCAAGAAGTGCACGATGACAGAGCGTGGAATTAAATGGGCTTGTGAGTATTGTACATATGAAAACTGGCCATCTGCAATCAAATGTACCATGTGTCGTGCTCAGAGACCTAGTGGAACAATTATCACAGAAGATCCATTTAAAAGTGGTTCAAGTGATATTGGTAGAGACTGGGATCCTACGAGCACTGAAGGAGGGAGCAGTCCTTTGATATGTCCAGATTCTAGTGCAAGACCAAGGGTTAAATCCTCTTACAGTATGGAAGGTGCAAATAAATGGTCATGCCACATGTGCACATACTTGAACTGGCCAAGAGCGATAAGGTGTACTCAGTGCTTGTCTCAACGTAGGACCAGGAGTCCCACAGAGTCTCCTCAGTCTTCAGGTTCTGGTTCAAGACCAGTCCCTTTTTCTGTTGATCCATGTGAGGAATATAATGACAGAAATAAACTAAACACAAGGGCTCAGCACTGGACTTGTTCTGTTTGTACATATGAAAACTGGGCGAAGGCCAAGAAATGTGTTGTATGTGATCATCCCAGACCTAACAACATAGAAGCAATAGAACTGGCAGACACAGAAGAGGCTTCTTCAATCATAAATGAGCAAGACAGAGCTCGATGGAGAGGAAGCTGTAGTAGTGGTAATAGCCAAAGAAGATCTCCACCTACAACCAAACGTGAATCTGATGTGAAAATGGACTTCCAAAGAATTGAATTGGCTGGAGCTGTTGGCAGCAAGGAAGAACTTGAAGTTGACTTCAAAAAACTAAAGCAAATAAAAAATAGAATGAAAAAGACTGACTGGCTGTTTCTAAATGCTTGCGTTGGTAAGTCATTTGCTGCTACCTTATACTGTTATGCCTGTAGTTAGGTATTTTGGGAGAATGAAGAATTAAACCATAAACTTGAAATTAGATTTCAAACCAGCTTTTTTTTAATCTCTGCATTTTAATTTTAAAAAGTAAACCAAATGTAGAAGTTCCTGAAATGGCACCTGCTAAGAGAGGGTGCAGATTTTGTCCATAATCTGAACATGTTTCCCAACTATGCTCAGACTTTTTTGACCTTTTGTAGAAATGGATATCCTTGTAACCAAATCCTGTTGTTCTATGTAGTCGTCAAAAGATGGAAAAATTACAAAACCAGTCTACAGAACAACGTAATGCATATAGCACTGTAAAAAATGCCATTACTGGATAATTAAAATTACTCTTCTTTTTGCTATGGGAAGATATGCTAGTAGAATCAGCAGCTGCAGCTTGGGAGTATTTGTAAACAGTGTAGAGCTTGCAACAGTACAAGATGCTCTGTCAGATGTTAAAAATAACACCAAAATATGTAGCTCCAAGAAACTGCATGTGTAATACTGACCTTGAAAGTAATAATGTTGTATTAATACGGATACTGTGTTGTAAATGTTTACAGGCTTTCTGAAAGTATTTTTGTAGTCAACTGCTTCAAAAAATTCAAATACCAATTTTGTTTTGTATTTTAGTGCTTTCCTAAGGAAATTCTGGATAATTCTCCCAGTGCTGTTAAAGAACAGAGACATGTGAGAGCAGGGTTTTCTTCAGTTATTGACCTTGTGAGTTAACTTTTGTGCTGTAACTTCCCAGAAGCAGATATCTTGTGCCCTAGCATACAAGCAGGTTAAACACTTGAAATACGCAACTATTTTTAGAGTAAAACACTTCATTTGAAACTCTGGCGCTACTGGTTTGTCTCGTACTGTTCCTTAATGTTTCATGAAGTCACTTCATGGTTATTATAACTGAAAAACTAATTTGTGGAGCTGCTTTATTTAATATATTTGATCGGGGTAAACGTTTTCATGGGTATCATGGGTTTGGTTTCTCTGAGCTAATAAATATTCCAGTTTATCTTTGTGTTGCGTGAATAATTGGACAAGCACATTTCCTTTTGAAAATAGTTAGATGCCTCAATATTTCCTGATACCTTCAGCTCTTTACATGCTAGCACATGTGCAGTGCTTTTTCCTTCTGAAATGAAGCAATTGAAATTCTGTATGGTATTTCGTAAGTTATTGAATACCCAAGATCAATTGTTGCAGGTCATTTCTGTGCCTTACAAGAGTCTATTTTGCATTCTGATAGCAATTGTATTAAATATTAGGGGTGTTTTTCCTCTGCTTTTTGAAAAGTGATTTTTTTTTTTTTTTTTTTTTTACTATTCCAATGTTACTTAAAATATTTCACACTTTCAGATTTAATCTGTGTGGGAATGGTTGTGTTTATGTTTAATAACGTGCGTTATGCAAGTATTTAATGTTGCTTGTGACTATACAGTTGTGCATGAAACTCAAAACTGTGTTAACAGAAGTTTTGTAAGGCAGTAATGATTTAGTTCTTTTCAAATGAAAATAGTTTGAAGGGATCTTGAGAAAGCCAGAATGCAAATGGAGTTGTGTGCCAATTTTTACTACTGTTCTGCTGAAAGATTTCATGGATTCCTTTCTGTAACTTAAACACTTACTATAGCTCAGCTTTTTAACTGAGGGGAAAAAAAGCAGCAACCAAAACCTGTTAATTATTACTCTTTCATTTTGGAATTTCACTTTGCATATCACAGCTGTCATATTTTTCCAAATATTCCTTGTAGCAGGAATAACCTTAGGAAGATTGATGAAAGCTTCATAGATTCTTTTGTGGTTGTCTCTGGATGTTTTGCAGAGTGTATCTGTATTGGAAAGGTATACCAGTTTAACGAGTAATTTTAAAAGCAATAAGCCACATTTATGCTGGTTGTTTTGTTGTCTTAGTGTGACATACTTAAAACAATTTAACTGTTAATTGAACAATTTTGCCTGAAGCATATGTTCTTACCATTGAAATCAACTGAGATATTGTGACTTAGTGAGTTACTGTTTGTTAGCCAGCTGGAGCTCTTGTGATCTTCTAGCTGAGCTGAACGCTTGTCAATCCTTAGCCAAATACAATTATAAAATAGGACAAGTTCATGTTAAATGTCAAGTAAGTTTTGTGAAAATTGATGGAATAAGAGTTGGTATGTAGTCTGTTACCGTAGTCCAGCTGACAAGTGGTGGCTTGTTAGGATTCGGTAACTTCAGACTGCGCACCTCCAAGTTTAAGCTCAATCAGTTGTGGAGGGTCCATTTGCTTTGAGTCTATCTAGTGTGGGAGAGATATATCAGTTTCAAGTTTTTGGATATACAAAGCGTAGCCTTCCCTGAAGTTAAAGATTAGAGGAGCAAGAGTAGGAGTAATTCTTGGCAGAGTGGTTATTTTTTTTCTCTTAGAAGAAATTATGTTTTAGAAGCAAAATGTTTGATGCTTTAGGACAGCTTTTTAGTTGAACTCTCTCTTTGCATCTCAACTCGAGTATAAAATTTTTTACTAGATTTTAAATTTAATGTCAAGTTTCATTAAAAACATGTATCGGACTACTTTTTTTCCACATCTGTTCTTTTTAGCTGAAACAGAAGATAAACGTGTAGCTTGTGTGGATTTAGAAAGTACCTCTGTGTGCATGTTTGTGGGCTTTTTTGTTTTGTTGGAGACATCCATTAATGTTCTGCCCACCTCAGTAAGTAAACATGCCATCGAGGCTTCTATTCCTTGCAAATCTAGACTGTACAAAATGTGATGACTGCAAATCTTGCATTTCAGCATGAATAGTTTCCTTGATAGAAGGTATTCTTTCTGAATCAGAAGGATTAGTGGCATTACCCCTTTCAAACTCTGCGCGTGAATATACTTGAATGTTATTTTTGTTATTGACTGTTTTTTTGCAGCGTGGATGTATTCATCAAATGATCCTGTCTCAAAAGGATGAGACTTTAGAACTGATTGTTTGGTTAAAATTTATTAAAATCAAACCAGAACATCTAGTAAGCATGGCCGGTGAATGACATGACTTCCTACAAATGCCAGTTTGAATTACAATGAGAAATTACAAATGGCTTCTGCAAGGACACCAATGCTTTCTGCTGTACTGGCCTAGTACAAGGTTAATGTGAAGTCCAAGGTACTCTCATTTCTTGGGGGGGGAAGCTAACGTATATTTAAAATTAAGCTCCATTGTCTTTTATGTAACTCATGGTTATCTATGCCAAAGAGACTGTAAGAGAGGTTTGGTGGCCTGTGGGACATAAGGAATCTGATGTGCAAGAAGAGCAGTACTGATGTGGGGCCTGGTGAAGCTGGTTACAGCTGGCTGTGGATTTAAGTAGTACAAATGGATGAAGATGATCATGACTATAAAGTCTTTCTAGTGTTCAGAGTTTGCTTGGGGCTCACACTTCAGAACTTGCTGAATCTTCCCCTCTCCTGGCACTTCAGGGCTGGATTTTACAGTGGTGCTAGCAGAGTGTGTTGCAGGGCACTGCTGAGGATCCTTGGGTTGTGTGTTTAACTCCTGAGCTTGAACTGTAGCCAGCAGATTAAAAGTAAACTGCATTTCTTCTCCTTTTCCTTTCTCCTCCAAACCTGCTTATTAACTGCTGCAAGAGAGCATGTTCTTGTCTTTTGATTCAGGTCAGCAAGGTAGCTACTACTGTCAATGGGCTAGACTTCCCCTGCTGGGGATGGTGGCTCTGGAACCAAGTAGACACGCATTCCTCTTAGCCCTGTGAAAGAAACAAGTAAGACCGTGTTTCTTAAACAAATCCAAAATATTTAGAACAATCTGTTTTGCAGTACATCCTTAAAAGGACTGTTAGTTCATTCCTGGTACTCCTACATATGTGTCTGCTTAGTTTTTCCTTTGTCAACTACTTTATCTCTCTTACAGGTTTGTTTTTTTTTTTCCTTTGTCCTTTTCTCCCTTCAGTTTTCTGAAATAGTGCCAAATGTGTTACCCAAGCACTCAGAAACCCTGTGCGAAGGGAGAGTTGTTCTGTCCACATTTAGGTATGAAGTTGGCTGGGCAGTGTCCCAGACTGTTCTGCAGCTACAGGAGAGATGGCAGCCACCTCCTGCTCTGTGTATTGCAGAGCATGTGGCTCTTCACTGACAGTAAAAGCAGCCTGAAGGGACTGATGTACCAAGACACTTTCAGCTGGCACTGCTGCCCAAAGTAGTCCTCCTAGCTGCTTGTTTCTGTCCTCCTGGTGTGTTTGCATGCCAGCATACAGTGAGATGCATCTGGAAACTAATCTTGCTGAAAATGAAGCTTGCTAAGCTTGGTTAGGGGATATTTTTGTGGGGGGGTGTGGTGGTGGTTTTGTTTGTTGGTTTTGCTGTTTTAGTAAACCCAGACTGGTTTCCACTGTACGGCTAAACCTTGATGGGGCTGTTTATGCTGTAATAAGGGAGTGGGAGGTGTATGGGTAGGAACAAGCTGCTGGAGGTGGGGAAGCGTCATGCTCCATTCCTTGCTGGAGTCGGTTCAGGCTAGCTTGAACTGTTTAGGGAAGTATAGCAAGAATTAGTCACTGACAGGTGTTTACCTGCCACGCTGGCCTTGGCTAAATATGGCAAACAGTGCCTGTTGGGATGGTTGCAGGGGAAGAGTCCCTGGTATGAGCTGTACAGCCTGGCTTCCTTCCTCCATTCCTTTGTGATACTGGGAAGCACGGTGTGGCATACTTGCCTTCTGTGCCAGGTAACAGTGACGCAAGCTTACAACTTTGACCTGGGTAAGAAATCTTGTATTGTCGTCTGTGTCCTATATATATATTCTATCATACTTATATTTGTTTGTGTGTGTGTGTGTATATCTTTCAGAGTAGGTAAAACTCTGCATTCTTTACTCCTTGGTAGAAGATCTTAACTCCTGAAACACTTTTATTTTGGTCTCTTGACCAATTTTTTTAAATGCTTGGTGATGCTTTATGCTAAAAATAATT